TGAATACGTGGTTACTGTCAACCAGTGGAGACCGCTATTCCCAACAACCTACAATCGGAAGTGAGTAATCTGACCTAGAGATTTCACAATGCTCTACTGCTGAGTCATAACATTCTAACAGATCGCGCCTTCTGTTTCTCCTTCTGCTGGGTTGGTGGCGCACCAGGCTGAAAGCACCGTTAGGGCATTATTAAAACGGATGGTCTAGTCCTCCTAGTACCGTTACATTTGCCTGCGTTGATACCAAATTAGGAATCTGTTCACCTACTCTAAAATTCCTCCAAGATCGTCCACTATTGACAAAAACTACGCTTCGAATAACCTCACTTAAAATATGGTTCAATAAGGAATGGTCTGAGACGAAGCATCACCATGAATATGACTGTCAACTGTTTCTATGATGAGCGAGGTGTTCGGTGGATGCGAAATATTCTGCCACAGCCAGCTGGGAACTACGGAAGATAAATTATGAAAGGGAGTTACGCGCCATGAGTGCTTCGAGTCAGTTTTTTCTTGTGAAATGTAGTCCACTGGCTACAAGAGATTACTTGGCACAAACTGCAGTCATACATCATTATTATTGCTTTTTACAATCCTTCCATACACTGTGGCTAAGTTACCCTACATCAGGCTGTCATTTTCCGATGGGTGAATCACGACACTGACATTTGTTCTTGGTCGCTTTATACATGTTTATGTGTTTGTAGTTCATCATGAATACAGTGCGCTATGTCCAACCCTATTGCATTCCGGTATCTGCGCTCCATTATGCGGATGGTGTAACATAAAACGGACTCGTCACCTGCAGTGCGCCATGGCATAGATATTACTGAAAATGGTTGATCTGTTTTGTTTTGTCATCTTCGTATTCATTGAACCAGCTAGCACGTATCGCAGCAGCGATGGTCCCGTGATGATGAGACAGCCATACAGCATTTGTTAGAAGTTAGGCGGCTGCCTGCACGAGTCCAGATTGATTAATTTAAAAGTATGCCAACAGAATTCCATAATGCCACATGCAACCTGTAATTCCACCTCTTTATCCATGGGTGCTTGACAAGCAAGCACTAGATCCGCATGGTTATCGTCTAGCTGAAGTTCTTGCAAGTATCTGAACGGCCTTGCCTGATCGTATATAACGCAAAACTTTTGTGCTAATCCTTAATAGTGATACAGAGTAGACCGAATAGCGACGTCATTCTTTGAAGCGGATGAAACAATGGTGCTACACTGGACACTGCAGTAACGTATCTGCTTGTAAATGACAAGACTAGACTGTATTCTTCTAATCAATACCATCCGTTTCAGTATCAGTAAGTCAGAAGCAGAAATACATTCTTCAGGCTCAGATAAAACGAAGATATATGTTCCTTACTTAAATTCTTTTTGCAGTCTTCGTGATAAATCTTAAAAGACCACCTAATGGAGATTGAAGCACAAAAACTTATTCAGTGAAATACTACTGTGCTATTGTTTCGAAGCAGCACAATGAATCTTAGCCTCACCAACGGTGTAGCACCAAGTCTATGCATTATCTGTCTACTAGCAAACGGTAAACCGGCTTCAATTATCTCGTGGACTTTGCGTGGAGAACCGCTAATGAGGTTAGAGAATGACCAAGCATACTTTAACTAGATGCGACCACACCGACCTAAAAAGTTGGGACCAAATTTCACTTATGTTTTGTTGGGAGTAGAACGTCATCTCACTGATTTGGCCAGAAACAGCCTCCGTTGCAACGCACACTTTCTTCTGATTTGGTTTAATAACTTGTAGTATATGTATGTTTTTCCAACCATTTATTGTTGTAATTGACGTGGTTTCTTTCCGGGGCTGTTTAAAAGACCCTCTATTACGTAGCATAGTGCATTAGTCTTTTGGACTAAGCCCAGGTTTTACATCCACTAGGCTAGATCAGCCTTTCCAGTTTCATACTTCGCTCGTTTTGGTAAGCCATTATGCGTTTAAACCCGCCTATCTTTTGTAATTTATCCAGTGCATATTTTAATTGCAAATGTGTAGAAATTGCATTTGACAACGTTGGTCGCCCACCCGAAATATTATTGCTTCAGCTTTATAACCAAACGATTAATCCTGCTTCATTTACCAACGCTCTTGGCATTCGCTGAAATCACGTTTTGCAAAAGACTCAACGACCGACGCTACGACGTAGGCGATGAAACCTTATCTTTACGGTGCCTGTTGTGTGGTGCTAGGTGCTAATTTAGGCGTGCTAAGGATCAATGGATGTCGGCCTATGTGACATTTGTGCACCTTCATGATGGCAGAAATCAATGAAGGCGACGCCAAAAGACATTCCATGCATGACGATGCCTGTTGCTTTGAGCGCTATGAATTATTTCATAGGTCATTTCACTAGTCTACGTGCCTGGTTGAAGTGGACATTGATGTACTACTGAACATAAGTTTCGTACCATATTTCATATAAACGGGCGAACAACCGGTGGTGTTCCGGTACCACATCCGGTCCTCCTACCATCCGCGCAAATTAATTCCTTCTACAAGCGGAAGATATTGCCCCCGACATATTTGTCCTTTCCGCCCCGTGGAATGAGCCGATGGCACATTGCGCGGCACCATGAATACAAAGACCTGGTTTCATCATTTGTACATCAAACACATTAAGGGTAGTGAAGAGGAATCTTGAATGCCCTATCCTGTAATACGTTCCTCCATTGATTCCCACCAGCCTTTACTCAATTGTTTTCCTGGTTCCGAAGCAAAATTTGTTTACTCTGGATCTCAATGCATATCACATGATCCAACGTCAATATAATTCCGTGTTCAGTTCTGAGAAGAGAATTGGTCTTATAACAATGAATCGTTCGCAGGTGGACTTAGTTAAACCTTCTGAACAACTTCATTATCGCTTCACAATGTAACGCCACTGTTATCGGTGTTCTGAAGTATTTCAATCTCACCTCCTTACGCCAGCTGGACATAGACATGTGGATTATGTTGTTAGTTTCGTGGCATATGTTACTTCACATTGCAGTAGTGCTCTCAAAATATGGCAATTTTGATATGGATAGAGGTCTCATACATAGAAACCATTTCGTTCGTGCAGTTTATTGTCCTGTTTTCAATTTTTCTAATGCACAACTGAACCCGTTACAAAGTCAGACCATTACCCTCACGCCTCAGGGTAGTTTCATTCGGTTGGTTAATTGATTTAATCCAATTGTGTACAAGGCAGTGTATCGAGACGATACTAGTTTGTTCTACTTGTGACTTCAAGACATACCGTTTGCTATTCGGAGTAATTCGAAGTTGTTCACACGCTTGTACTGGAAACACCTATCCTTTATGTCTTGAAAATTTGAACTACGTGTTACCTACCATCCGATTTGTTGTTCGTATTGTAGGGCAGCGGAAGCCAGTGGACTACTCGTGAAACGAACGACAACGAAGCGGAAGTGTAGAGAATTAACAAGGAGCGCAATGGATGAGACGAGACAAAGCTCTGCGAGCGTTGTGGATCTAGCTGACAGCGGATCACGGGCGGCATCTGATAACCAGCCTGAGCCCAGAACAATGGAGGAGGTGTTTGTCGAGAACACTGAATCAGACAAATACCCCGCTAGCGACGCATCATCAACAACAGCAGTACATCAGCCATTTGAACTGATGCTTCGCTGCCATACAACCACGATGACCTATGAACAAAAGAATAATAAGAGGAAGGGGTCTCACCTGAAAACCTTAATGCCCTAAGCAGACATTCAGGGTCAAGGCGTCTACTCCTTGTGTAGACAACATACCGTCACAACCAGCTGGCTATCGTGCAAAGATAAAGCGGCATCGGCGAGACGGCTTCCTTGCGGCTTCCATTACTCCGCGTCATAATCAGCCATTACCCCGCAGATAATCCAGCACCAAACACACTTGAAACAGGCAATCCGATTAAGAGACGGCAGCATAAGCGCCAAAGGTGTCGGTTACGAGCTATGTCCTGTAATGTCTCGAGCAAAGTACAGGACTTCCTTCGCTAGCGGAGCATACAGGAGTGAACGCGGGTCGACTGATGCAGCTACGGGAGAGCAAACTGCGAGCTTTCGGATGACACATTGCCGGCCAGAATCGAATATAGCGAAGCAGAGATATGGGACGGAAAGTTGGAGGGTTTGTCCAGAAGTCAAATCTCCTAGGCACCTGGAATGGTCCGTCACACAAATCCTCATCCGCGTTGTGCGTGGGAAAGAAACACAGTCCAAATCTGTATGGGTTTGTGAGCTGTAAGCGGCACGTTCTTGTGGCAATACATGCTCTGTCGCCCCCCACCCCGAGTCATTTTCTCTACAGTATGATTCCTGTGGAAACGCGTTAGCTCGTGACTTCTAGGCGATTTGTTGCTTACAGGCGTAAGCGGATAAACTAGAAGTGTTCCAGGTTGTCACTGCAACTGTTCTATAAGTAGAAAGCGAGTACTAGACTAGCCGATCCACACAAACTGACCCTCACGAATAGCGTAACTCACTAGAAATGAAAATTTGGCTCCTCTTTACTTATCACGAAAACAAGGTAACAATGGTTTACGACGAGCAACAACGCATAGGCTAAACATTTTCTGAGGTTGGTAATAGAAGGTTTGTGTATTAGAATACTTCACAAGTGTATCTAATAAAATATACATCAGCGATTCGATAGACGAATGGTATATAGCTTAGCGTTATGGGACATAGATGACTACATTCACAACGGCATACTAAAGGGATAGTGATAACCCAGTAGAACTGAATAATATAAGCACCCATTCCTTTATGCATACAGAGCGTCCAACACTGACAGTACCTCTAATGGCCTTGTTATGAGCTGGGAATAAGTGCGCTTCCATGTCTAATTTCCCTATCCTGATGCGGACTAACCTTATTTACCCTACTTGACTTTGTGACAATTTTGCATTCTCACAAGGTAACGTCAGAAGAAAACAACGATATTTAATAACGACAAATCCCCATGCGGACAAAAAATGTATTCAAGCACACGCAAAATGAGCAGAGTTAAAATTGATGGTGGAAAATCTAAAGTAACTGGTATTTTGCGCACTAATAATCAAGAGTAGATACCTGAAATGTGAATGTATTGCATCATGTTAGTTGCATGGTTACATCTTATAAGAATAGCGGAGCGTACTTATTCCACTCATTCCGTTTCTCAACAAATGCGTCTATGTAATGTCCAAGCGTTTAAGATGCATGCAAAGCTAACAGTGGAATAACACTGCTTTTAATCAAGGGAAACAAATACTGCTCCCTCGGCAGTTATTCTACCGCTGTGTAAGGATGCTGGACTTAATTTAACTAAAATCGAGCATGGTTATAAGAGTGAAATAGAGCTATTCCCGTATCAAGGAAGGCAATTTCGCCGTTTTCAGATGCGCCTAAAGTCAAAAAAATTTGATGGCTAGGACAAGTAAACCTTCCTTGTCACTGAGCGCAAACTATTCAACCTGTATTCACTTCCTTAATCAGCTGACTATCTCTACCCGGAGTTTAGAGGAACATATAAACTTAGGTGTTTTGTGCGATGAGGAAGTTACGTACAAACCATTAACAGATATGAGTGTTAAGCCGCTATACCTACTCGCGTTGGTTGTCGACAAATTTTGTCCCTGCAAGACTGCACTAATGATCACATAGAAGACGGAGGGTTTGAAATCACCGCAGCGGTGGTCTACAGATAAACCAAACGATGATCGACAGAGATAGTTGTTTTTACTTGGTACTGTTCAGTTAACTATTAATCCGGAATTCGAAAACAGCAAGGCTTGAAATAAAGGTTTGGCAGAGTGAATCATATTTGGTCATAGGTGGCAGTGTGTTGTTAAATCTACTTGGGGGTAATCTCCGTTGAGCTCAGGCGATGTCAGAAAAATATATATTGACTTCAGTTTAAATAAAGAGGAGTACGCTCGTGTTGCTCACACCGGCGTTTCAGCGCAGCTTAAGACTTATCGAGGTTTGCAGAGTATCGCTACAATTATCGTGTTTTCATGACACCCTAGCAAACAACTTTCTTCATGTTTTCATTTCGTCAAAATGGAGCAAATGGTATACCGAGGAATTATAAGGTTCGTCGTTGTTTATCCAGTCTTGATGATTATACTAGACATGTATGCACTTCTATAACAACCAGAGAAGCGCAACAAATGGGATAAAACTGCGTTCTTACGCTTGGAAATATCTCGTATTAGTATAACGTTTACTTATAGCGGTTTGTATATTTGTAAAGCCTCTAATGCACTTACATACCCTCTTAACTTCTAAGCGTTAGTTGATGACGATAACCCAGTTAACTACGCGACAGAAACAAGCGATATATTAACTGCATTGGCTAACAGGAAAGACCATGTGGCAGTTAAACTTCACAAAGCGTTAACGCACTCGGCATAAGCGATGGACTTCCCACCATAAAGACTCACATAATACTAAGTATAGGTCTAGATTAATCAGTGATCAAGTAGCATTCGGTAAAAGACAGGAAGGTTGGGATTTACCTGACATCGCGTTACTGCCCAAAAATAGATAAAATGTCTGTGGAAAGAAGGGATGAATGTAATCTCGAAGATTATCTAGATTAGTAAAGTTAATCCACCTGTAGCGATAAATGTGAGTAGTAATACACCAAAAATAAGCCGAAAATATGATAATGGGATTAGATTTTGGTGCAATATCCCTTAACTATCTTTTTTGAATGTTAGCATCAAGTGTATCAATCAGACACGGTTCTGGCAACTTTCCGTCCTCAGAGAGATCGCATGAGTGAAAAATAAACAAACAAAAACCCTGCACTAATAGGTAACTAATCGGATTTAGGGAAGTGACATACAGGTATAGGAACATTTATTTTCAAGATAATAACTAGATGTGACGTGTCGAAATAATTGAATAATCCATCATTTTCACATACGTGTCTTCGAACTTCTTTCCACGTCCGGTCCACTAATAATTTGATCTAAATCTATATTTTTATCATAACGATTCTGTTATTTGTAAAATGCCCTTACTGCGGAAATCGTGGATGCCGCCCACCGCAAAGGCGATATAGATAAACCTAACCTACGGACGGTGAATGAAGCTACCAGATAAGTAAACGACGTAATGGTTTCTAAGGTGGATCGACCGAAAGGGGTTTTCCACCGTAAAGCTCTTGACAAAATACGTCAACCAACTCACGCATGATGGAGAGGGCGCATTAAGTAGGACGTGGATGTCTGTTCACTTACAGTAAGACGAACCACAAGTTCCACCTCGGCCGGGTGCTTTGATTTCTTTTCGTACTGGGTTTGGTGTTCGAACTCTCTAGATGTGAATATCACAAAACAGTATGATGAATGAATTCATAAACGTGATATGTTGAAAATACCATTTTAGACAAACAACTGAGGTCGGTTAGCAGATATTGCTGCCTATGCGGACGTTGCATGGGCTAGCAATGTTGCGTTTCATATGGTGAAATGCAGGCATTATTTGGGTTAGGGTTACTGAACTCAGAGACAGTGATTGGTTTCTCGCAGGTTTGGCTTGTGAAACTTTACTTTAGCTAATCCAAGTAATCTATGATTATATTTCTTGGGATGTGACATACCCACGTCACTAGGAAATTACTCTAGTTTGGAAACTACATTGGAGTTGTAGCAGTCTGGAGATTCTAAGGTTTGCTTGTGTAAAATTCTAACCAAAATTCTATAATTGTACACTTAGGCAACCGGTGTGGTTTGTTGAACTGATTGCTGAGTTCGAATGCTTTACTTGCTCATCGCCATTTTTGCTTGGCGCTCGCTTCGGTTGCAACGCGCGACTGCTCTGTGTGCTGTGTCTGCTCCGTTTCCCTAGCTAGAGCGTCCACGGTGTCGTTCGTTCATAGCTAGCTAACAGGGAATCTTTTGCTGAACCAATAAAAGTTTCCCTGCAACTCGATCTGTCTTCTGGAATCGCTCTCTGGGCTCCCGGAATAGGCAACCCTCTAAAGAGTCCGTTGCACTCTTTAGGTAGTAGACTTTGTCAATATTGCTGAACTAATTGCGTTGCTCATCCGGACTGGAGAGTACAAACCTCTACGTAGGTAATCCTTAACTCTCGTTCAGATTTTGCCTTGAATTTAAACAGGTCATTACTAAGTCAGAAGTACTGGAACCATTGCTTTCTCTTCATTGCTTTACACGTGTCCAGCCTCCCGTCCATTACTCTCATTAGCACAATTAGTGAACTTATAATTCACATTCAGCTCGAATAATGCAATTTGAAGAACAGTAAGTACAAAGCGACCGTTGCTGTCAATTATCTATGCCTCTGGTTATGCTTGATTCAGTTGCGGTTATGTGCAACTATTCGCACTTTTGAACATCCAGGCGCAAACGACGGAACCTCGCTGAGTATCCATGATCTAAGACAATGCATTAGAATTTGCGAAACCGCTAAACACCAGAAACAAAGCACGGTTTAACTAAATAATCATTACGCAAATACGCAGAAATTCGCTTTCCACGACTTTGAACATGAAATAATTAAGACAGCTGCTCAGTTAAGAAACCAATCAACTACTTATGTTAGATCCGGTTTCTTTTAAACAAAAGAAACTTGCTAGTGCATATCTAGTGTCATGCTGTTTGCAATTTTGGTGGAATACTTTGGCTAATTTGTCACAATCTCACTATTTATGACATCACTGTGGACGCTCATGTTGTGCCTGTAACTTTGAACAACATTTCACCAGAATATCCGGTGTAGGAACAAACCAACACTCTTGTATCCGGCAAATCGCACTAACGATGATACTAACTCTACTGACGTAGTTTACTCAAATAAGTCATAAGGTGCAAAGAAAATTTTTAACGATCCTAACAATGCGTCGTTATTGAAAGTCGGAATAAACGTAGTTGCGGCTCAGCAGGAAGCATTGCTGAATGTTAACTAAAAGATCGAAATGTACTGTCAAAATACGAGTAGCAAAACACTCCATGAGAGTTAATGCTAATGCCTTGGAGCTAGAGTTGGGTAGCAGCGGCTTAGTGCGCATAGCACGAAGCACAACATTAAACATTAGGAAGGATTCCCAAATCATCAAATAGAAGGCACTGGGTATTTCTTTGTCCATCGAAACCCAAAGGATTGCCATGTATTTAGGTGACACGCCGGAGTGGCTATCTAGGATTTCTAACCGACTGTAAGAAGTCCAATTGCACCTTTTCCTTGAAAAAAGGCTGAAGTATACATGTCATAAATGGCCGACCTAAGTAACAGTATATAGTACGATCCTACGAAGATGAAAACGGTTAAGGTAAAGCAAATGATCTCTTCAAACAGAGGACTGTAACAAGGAGACTGGAATTTGCTTATCTTATAATTCGACAGAGGTCAAAAACGTTTTCAAATGACCGCAAAATTAGCGCTGTGCCAAATCCGTGTTTAACGCAATGATAAGCGGCATGATTTTCACTAAAGAAAATGTCATATGCTGCAATCTTATACAGTGTTCGGTAAAAAGTCAAAACGAAAAAAACAATCAACGCAACCAACATGGATAGGAAGACAGGGCGATAGAGTAAAAATGGTGCAAACCATGAACAAACAAGAGTACGAAGGCAGAGAAATCCTCCGCTCCACACTACCAGTAAACTCACGTGTACCACTAAAGATACAGCGTGCTCCAACTGTACAGTGATTTGTAGCGCTGTATGATATCACTGCTTATTGTAATTCGTCGCCAAAAATGCAATGCCTCCTCGCCCGGCAACAAAGGTTTAGTGTAAAAAGCACACGTTCTTACGCTACCGCAGCCATTCACGTGCAGATACCATTCGTCTAAAGCCAATGGAAGCGGCAAACCGGCGCTTAGTTAAAAAGTTCTGTCCAGTAATTTAATGGCAGCTACATCCGAAACAATTCCCAGCTGATTCATTCCTATCTGATTAAAGAATTTAGGCATACAATAACGACTGCTGAGGAATTCATGTTTCAAGCTAAATTTGACCGGCTCATTTACGCTGTCAAACTCACTAACCAGTTTCCACATCAGGTGTGACAGATGCTGAAATAAAGAAACGGCATGGTACACTCAATTAGATTGAATTCAACAAAAATCTGGAATATTTGAATTTGTGCCATTGTACATAATCAAATAGATGCCGAATATTTGAAGCTAATTACAAGCGCGATTACGACGACAAGAAGGAATGCAAAAGCGTATTGCGATTGTTCAATCATGTGTCTATATGGATGGTTCTTTAGTGATAAGAAAAAATACCACATAGCATTTGATCAGGCAACGAGTAGCATTCTGGCCGGCATTGGAATTTATTAGTATAGTTGAGGAAGAGGCAATATTAAGCTCTCATGAGACATTACGCAACGGTCTGTCGTGGCATTGAGGATCCGATGACGGTGATGCTATCCAGCGCAACGATAAGTAGGTCGCGACCAGGTCAGTGCGGAACACGAGGTAATTCTTTGTGGACAAGTGTCAGATTGTTCACATTCGTCACAGACACGTCTGGATTTAGAGCCTTGGATTGGGTCACTTGTACATCAACACACGACAACGCCAACTCGGTGTATTTGTGTGGGAATATCTTGGCGGTTCCGAATCAACTGAGGCTGCATTATGAAGTGACCACAGTTTCCGTTAAAGTGGTCAATAGATTATGTACGCAAAGCGGTTCGAACAATCCAGTTGGATATGGTTTTTTGAACGACCGATTAAAACAGCTACACGTGTATGGCGTATGAGTCTTCATCTCCAGTCCGTGTCCACACCAACCTGGGCCGTGTGCGTCTGTCCCTCTATCGAGTACCCACTCAAAAGTTGCTTGGCTTCAAATACTTGATCGATACTTTGTACCCCTTCTGATCAGAATACACGTTTGTCTGTTGCCTGCTACTTGTGGTCTGTGGTCTTTGCATCTTTTGGTTAAGAGCAATTATTGTCTTTGCATGTTAGCTTCACTTCCGCATGTGTAGACTAGCATTTGCTACTTGATCTATTGCTGAAATTATTCGTTATGAGTAAACTTAACCAACCGGAGACTATTTGGGAAGAAGCGACTTCCATACCTTCACTTGCATTTTAAATTTATTGGAAGAGGAAATTCTGTGACTATCTTGCACTTCTCAGAATTACATTTCCTCACATCACTATTACTGACCTGCGTTCTGTTAAACTACTGAGACCACACTTGGATGCGGACCCTCAAGTGCAATTTGTTGCGTTGCTAAAACCTCTTCCGGAGCTAGATCAAACCGTTAAAATTTGGACCATATTCCAGGCATACATTCAGTATGAAACTGTACGCTTGTCTGTTCAATGAAACATCGCCCGCTAAAGCAAGTGATTTTAAAATCACTTTCAATTTAATACCAAACGCCCAGCCGAAATTTTTCAAACAGGGAGCATGCCCTTTGCTATCCACTTGAAAGTTTACTTAGAGCTAGAATGCCTCCAAACACATGGAATATTATCGCCACCCCTAATCTTGGGACGCGCCAATTGTTCCAGTACAAAACCGGATGGCACCGTGCGTATCGCTGGTGACTACAATTGGACTATTAATGAAACTGCGACGTCAGAACACTACACGTTCCGCAGATAGTTAACCTAGCAGAAAATCTGTCGGGTGACCAGAAGCTATCAAAACTTGCTTTAAGCCATGCTTATTCCCAAGTAGAGCTGCATGAGCTCTCCAGGGATAATTGGTTGGCAGTATCCGTTTTCGGATATGCCTGTCACTGTGATCAGCCACAGGACGCCTGCACCTACAGAGGGAACATGGGTGGATTGTGTTACACCACCTACGGCTCTAACCGCACACCCCATATCCGTGTTAACCCGAAGGAATAAGACCTGGAGGTAGGTGGATGTGGGCTACGGTTCATCAACGGAGCCGGCACACACTTCTTCACAGACAAACACAAGCACGCTGTTTTTGGGGCATGAAGCGTACACAAGGCGGTGGCTGGACTGTAGTCCACTCCACACGAACAGTGTGCATGGAACCACTTTTCGAGCCTAGCACGACGAAAAAGGACTGTGCACCCGTCCCCTCCAGCAATGACCAACTGTCTTTTGGAGCCAGTATGGACGACGTAGTGGCTAATATGCAGATGGGCACCTTGTCAACATGCACATTAAGCGGAGCCACACCGGAGATGTCAATCAACAGCCAAATACTTAAAATGACATGGTCAAATAAAATATATCTGTTAAAGCATACGGCTATGTCGATATAACACTTCGCTAAAAATTAGCATTTGAAGAAAGGTGGTTAGCTACGAATCCGCAATAAATATAAAAAATCCACAAGTTATTCACAAAATGCTACAAAAGAGATAAAATTAAGCAAAATAGCCACAAATGGCGGAAGCAACGTGTCCAGTTAATAGAAGATTAGACAGGTAGGCAGAACAAACCAAATTAGGTGGCATGAACTCTGTCCAGCTTAACAAAAGAGTTTAAGTGTGAGTTGTTTTAGCCCAAGTGCGGTGAAAGAGCATCCTGAAGACAACATCACCCTCAGCATGGGGAGATAACAACCATCAATGAGCACATGAGTTTCTTCCATTACAATGTACTTAAATTTGGAGTACAATCTACACCGCTAACATTTCAGAAGATTATTGAAAATGTAGTGAAAGGAACACCCGGGGTATGCGCTTATGTAGATGATATTCTAATTTCTGGAAGCACTGATTACGTACCCAGAACATCGCTTGCAAACGGCTTGAAGCGTCCTCAAGACGGTGGACTCAAGGTGAAGGAATCAAAATGTGTATTTTTCGCAGACAATTACGGTACCTTGGATTTAGTTTGGATAAAAATGATTGCACTTGCTAAGGGAAAGAATCTAGCACCTCCTTGATTTTCCAAGACCGCACAACGGCAGTGAGCTGCAATCCTTTCGTGGTATGAAAACACACTGTATTCTCTTCCTACCTGGTTTGGTTACCACCCTCGCACCACTGTACACTTTGCTATGAAGAAACGCCAAACGGCAGTGTTTAGCTCATGAATAAGTGTCTTTCGATGCTACCAAGGTAGCCATGGATGAGGATAACCTGTTAGCATATTTTCATCCGAGGAAGCCCGTCACTCTCCGTGGTGATGCCTCAGCATCAGTCCTCGGCCTAGTACTATCCCACAAGATGAATGATCGGACTGAGAAACCCATTGATTTTGCCTCTGGGAGCTTAGCGCCGGAAAAGAAAAACTATGCACACGTAGAGAACGAGGCCTTGGCGGTTATATTCGTTACTAAGAAATATCACCATTATCCTTGAAGAATAAGTTCCGAACTCTTTACTGAGCATAAAATCTTATTAGCCTTGCTTGTTGAACACAAAGGCATCAACCAGATTTTATCTTCCGATATGCAACACTGAGCCTTATTGTTATCTGCCTACAATTACACCATCTTTTCTGTCTCTGGAAAAGCAAATGGTATTGTGGATGTCTTGAGCCGGTTGCCGTTGAATCATCTTCCAGCTGTGCATTGGAACCGACCGAAAAAGTCCATTTAATGCAGCACTTGACCAGGAATCCGGTGTTGAACGCGGATATTCGCCGTGAAACAGAGCGTAGTATTCTCCTCAGCAAAGTTAAAATTTTGGTCTTCCAAGGATAGCTGGAAACGTGGGATACGGGACTGTTGCGTTGGTTCACCCGGCATATGAATGGAGTGTCGAGGATAACTGCTTTTTATGAGGGTCCAGAGCTAGTATGCCGTCTCGGTTATGACAGCTTGTGCTGCAGGAACTGCACGAGGCTCTAACAGGGCTCGCGCCTTCTTAGTTGAGGTGATCAAGTATCGATAGCGGCGTAGAAAGACTGAGCTGACACTGTGACTCATGTCAAAGTACACCAGGTTATGCCCAACCGGTGAGACTAAGTCCCTACAAATAGCCTGACAAGCCATGGGAGCGCATACTTGCAGACTACTTTGTTCCGCTTGATGTGAAGATATTTCTTCTTATGGTAGATGCCTATTCTACATGACCTATTTCCGCTGACACACGCCACTTCCGATTCAAATGTTTCCTGCATGCGAACAAGTTATAGCACATTCCGTATTCCATAGACAGACAACTGCTCTCTATTCACTTTTCAACACTTTCAAGGGTTCCTTCAAAATTACGGCACCAGACATGCGGAAACCGCCCCTTACGACCCAGCCTCAGTTGGACTAACGGATAGTGCAGTCCAGACAGTAAAAATACGGGTTGCAATAACAATCACCCGCTGCACTCCGAACGAAGTTGGACAAATTTCTATTCTTTTACTGCTCCACTACAACTGATACAACAAACAAGAGTCCAGACAAACTGATGTTCCGATCAGAAACTATGCATGGAGAAGCGGCAAGAGAAGTTAAAAGGGAGGCACGATTGGAATGCATCAGATGGACAACTACGTGAGGATGATACAGCTTTCGTCAAACTTCCCCGCGGACCTACTTACAACTCGCAGAGTTACACGAAGTTGAAGACCAGAGAGCGGAGGTTTCACTAGCGGACGGTACGGTGGTTACCCGTTGTATGGATCATCTCCGCTGTCGTTCCGTTTCAAATGAGCCAGACGACATATTGCGGAGACCGTCAAGCGAGTCAGTAGTCGCGGAGGCCACATAGATCACAAGTCAGGTAGAAGACTAACCAATACGCCGTTCGACTGGATTGCGACATCTTGTTGATCACTATCTGACTGTCTAGGGAAGTGCTAAATAAAGGGTGGAGCAATGTGGAGTATGAGTCACCATCTCCAATCCGGGTACACACCAGCATCGACTGTGTCTGTCTGTCGATCGATTACCCACTCAAACGTTGCTTGGCTTCAGATGCTTAATCGACTCTTTGTACCCGTTCTGGTCAGAATACACGTTTATGAGCTGCCAGCTAGTTGTGGTCTGTTGTCTTTGCATCGTTCGGCTACGAGCAGTTATTGAGTTCGCAGGTTAGCGTTAATTCCGCACGTGCAGGACTTAACAACATGATGAGAATTTGTACCATAAAACTGCAGCTTAATGGAGCCACATACAATCAAAAGGAGCAGCCAGGGGCATAAACTTAGCACCGCTAATATCAGATGTGTTCACGTGAAAATTAGTGGATAACTATCTAAGCGGAGTCAATGGAGGACTTTTCTACTAGGGCCGACACGTGGATATTTTGTGTGACACACAGGCGTTGATGCATAGAGCAATTTTTTCCATTTTAAACCTCGATTCCGAACGATGGCATGATGTTCCTCCTACACGTTCTGATGATCATAATACCAGATGCGTTGATCCAACCAAGAGTGCACAGAAGAGCCACGTGGAACGGATATGTTATACATTTTACTAACTTTGTACCATTACATCAGAAATGGAACTTATCAGATTTCTAACCGGCAAGACTAAACTAATTCGTAGTTAGTACACGCGTTCGGACGAACTTAATTTCTAAAGTGGAGTTTTCATGAAAAATGGCTATCCGGAACAGTTTGATCGGAGAATATGGAGTGCTGATCAGCGCCTGCTGAAACGGTTTCGGTCGGAAGGGTAATGTTTTATTATTGTTACCGTACTAGTGGGATGTAGTGTGCAGGTACAATGTAGAAGGCAATCCCATGTCATTGACACTATCTACTACCTAGCAAGCTTAACGCCAAAGTTTACTTCAACATAAAACTTGAGGCATCAGCAAAAGGACCGGCTTCTTCGTTAGGGTACTTCGTTCTGTATAAACACATTCTCTACTTCATGTCGAGCAAGATATATCGGAAGAACCACCAGGATATTATCCGAAAAATAAGTGCGCATTTCCCGGCTGTCTTTTGGGGGTGGCAAAATCAGTGACGTGCGCCATATTGGAAAATTTACTTGAGTTTAACCACCAAATCGATGCCTACCAATATTACCTACCAATTAGCTGTTTACCTGGAAGCCACGCACGAGTGGCAAAATATCGCTTCCTTGCAACAGACGAAGCGATTGTCATCGGCCTCCAGAACCAGATTCTTTCTCAAACTTATCTATACGTCATAATCACTCTTCTTGGGGAACACTTCTCCGAGAACAACATAACCGTTTCTGTAACAACTGTCTAGCATTATCGCTCAGGTAAAATTGACCTTAAAACATTGCCATTGTCTGATGTTTTTGATCAGTGTATTCCTTTCTGTTCTTGTGCATAAGAATGATAAGAATTGTGAAAAAGATATTGTTCGCTAACCCATACATTTTGTTTTTACGCATGAGGCATTAGCTCAGATGAAAAGTTGAAGCCGTTAAGTGGGAGCAACAATTGAAGCCCCAAACCTTGACAGCTGATGGGGTTAAAATTAACAAATGAATAGATGCGTGAACAGGATGGTAGGATTAGATCTCTCGAAAATATAGCGGGCTTTCTTAAACTGACTAGTGTGATGATCGTCGGCAGATGGGACCAGGGCTACGAATCAAAATCATATAAGTTTTAAACACATTCCTCACGAAGGCTCATGTGTCCTAACTTGCCACGCGGAAAGTTTGGGACAGTTCCATGCACCAATACAAACGACAACTAGAACGGGTAGGCTATTAGAATTTACAGATATTCGAATCGTCACAATAATAATCCGTATTGGCTATAAGAGCAATAGCAAAACTCCAATCGTACAGCAAGAAGGAAGAAGAGAATTAACAAAAGTGCAAACGATATCTAAAAGTTGGAAGAAGGTTACATATGAAACCTTAGGAATTTTATTAAACATCTGGGGTAGATGCACATTAAGAAGCGTATGATCCCATACAGCACAACATTAAGTAGGTCGCGACCACGTCAGTGCGGAACAGGACGTAACTCCAAGTGGGTAAGTGTCAGATTGTTCACATTCGTCACAGACACGTCTGCATTTAGAGCCTTGGATTGGGTCACTTGCAGATCAACACAGGACAACGCCAACTCGATGTACTTGTGTGGGAATATCTTGGCAATTCCGGATCAACCGGGGCTGGTTTACGAAGCGCTAACAGACATGCTAGTCTCTCGTTGAAGGCTCTCTGAATTTCGGATAATTCTACCTGATGCTCATTATCGCCATACATCCCTACGATGAACACCCCATTCAGAGTTGACAAAAGTGGATTAAAAGGAGACCTCACACCGTCCGACGCTCAACAATGTAAGGCAAAAAATAATGGCAAGATTTTGCGGCACCCACTGTAACACCTATGCTGACAATACTCTGATGTTTTATACGATGCTGCTAGCTATTTTGCCGAGATCTTAACAAAGCACATCAAATTGTGAGCGAGTCCCAATAACCGCGTGTTGCAACTACTTGAGGCCCAGAGCAGACCCATATAAAAAATGTAATGACTTGAAATTAAGTGCGCGTCATATTCATTTCGGACTGCATTTGGAATAAGCTTGAGACTATTCCCTCTCTTACTTAGAACGCTCGTCCAATCTCCATTGTTTGCGCCGACACATCAGCAGGAATCAGTTGAACATCTCACTTAAAATCATGCTATTCGGAACGTGAACACAGTGCTTAGGATTACATTCTTGTGACTTAGTATATTTACAGTTGTAAACTACTCGGATTCACAGAAATTAATGTGGATGAGAGAGGCAGCTGACTTGCTCCACAATCTTTCTCCCAATATGCCGTCGTCCGGTCACCTCTCGGATGTGCGTAGTGGTTCATTCTCATGTAGAAGCTTAGAATTCTCATTAAGTTTCTTTGTTTACACTACACAAGATGTTTGGCACATGCTTTGTTACAAGGCATAAAACATTTTCCATTTTTTCCATTTGAATTCCAACCAAATGGGACGGGGACAGTGCCGATTGCCATGCAGTCTGTTAACACCGGTGCAGGTTGCCACCAATGTGAGATTCATTTGCGTCTGACGACCGTCACGTTTGCTGAGGACTGTTACACCGTTGCATGGAAGTGGATAATCCCTGGATTCAGTTGCAGCAAGTGGGGGATTTTTTGAAGGAATATGGTTGTGTTCATGCGGGACGATTTTTGGGCTGGTAAGGAGTAGACCAGCGAGGACCAGACAGGAAGCACTTAGCGTGTTTGTATTTATGGTGGAAAAAATCCAACAAAATACGTCAGGAAAGCTCTCACGGCAACATCAATTAATGCTTTTTAGTTTATGCTTAGCCGAGACAAACATTAATTATTCAGTTTATGGATACTGCCGAAAAGCATTATGGATTTAAACTAAACACGTATTACAGTGACTTTTGTAGATGATTGAAGGTCAGATAACGTGCGGACATAGAAATAGAAGCACATTGAATTTAGGAAAGAGACAATGAGCGAGGGGAAACTGCAAATGCATACCTGTCGCAAGTCCTTCTTTTGGACTCTGTGTGCCAACTAAACAAAATTTAGAGCAAAAACAATGGAGTATATCGGTCAGGTAACTATGCATATTATTGCGATCGACGATGAATACTTCGCTTTCAGAGTAGATTAAAAGCGAGTAATTGTTGGCAACAAGGCCAAAAATGATAATGACAACGTTGGTGTTAGTAATGATTTTACTAGTGGCAGTGCCGATGTTTTCGAATAGGATTAGGAGTGTTTTGTTACGTCCATACAAAAGATGACAAGCACAATAATCAGTCATTCAGACGAGCTTTATTTTGTCACCTTAGCCAGTAGGGGCGATCAGAGAGAATATTAGTCATTTATAACTGCCAATGAGATTACGCGCACATTACCAATATGAATGATGATTTATCCTGATGTCCAATGTCGGATGCATAAAAGTACTGTTTGCTTTTATATTTAACTTCGCCAGCCAGTTAACTTTTGGTGCGACCAATAATACTGACAGCAAATTTAGGAGGGCATTTGCACATAAGATTTTCGTGCTGATTCCAAATTTTGGTAGCGAAAGTACACGCTTCGAGCCCACGAGTAAAACGGTCATTGAATGGTGAGTAATTCTGAGCTACACGTTGTGGGGATGTGTTGCGACACACAATCTCAATATGAGCCACCAAACTTTGCCCGTTGTGACCTGGTGGCATAGTGGTATCGTTCACTACTAACTAGGCAATGGTCTCGGGTTAGATGAGAAAACTATATTCGGAACGCTTCATAGATTGCAGTGGTTCCGTACGGGCTCGACAGCTTCCATCCGACACCTAGACCAGGACCGGCTATGGTGGAACTGAAAGTCAAACTCCCATTGTTCCAATGTATGGACAACGAGAAGACTTTGTGTCATATTCTAACAACCACGTTTACTTTACTGAAAGGCAGAAATTCACTCTATTTGGACACATAATACTCGCCGTATGCTTATAGAATTAGATGGGTTTATGAGTAGTTAAAGCTTGTTTGTTCGTCGAAACTTAAAGTCAACGACATTGTAATGGATATATGGGTGTGAGAATCGTGAGCGACGCACCGGATACAGTGGTGTGATACATATCTGCTTTTCTCTCGGTCCATGTTTCGGATAGGTTAAGATGAAAGGCAACGGGCTATTCAAACAGTCACAAGCAATTCTGTTATTCAGATCGCAAAACAAGGATCTAGCGTTTGTGTGCTGTCAAGCAGTTCACTTGAAAAGAGCATAATAGAAGAGTACGCGCGTAAATAGGATAAAACTAACCCGTTTCGACGAATTCGGTAACCGCATCTTCAACCGCACGAGAGAATGGAAGCAGATGGTTGTATGAAACGAAATGTTTGTTTTTTGTGTGGATGAATGACATTATGATATTTTAGTGAATAGTTAAAACTTCATTGTACATGGCAAATTAATATAATAGACAACGAAACGGATATAGTTGTGCCAATCTTGAGCGACCAAATGAACACAGCATTGCGATGTACAGGTGTATTTCTCCTATCCTATACCTGGGATATGTTAAGACGAAAGGCAACGGTTTATTTAAACAGTCACAAATCATCCCGTTAGTTCGGTCGCAGAACGTGATTCTAACGTTGCTATTACTATCCAGTGATTTGTTAAGAGTAGCATTGTAGACGGTGCGGCTTTCCGCATAAATAAGAGAAAAACTAACCAGTTTCGATGAATTCGGTAGTCTCATCTGTAACAGCGAGAGCGAATGGAAGCAAATGTTTGTATGCAACGAAATTTTTATAGTTTGTGCGGATGAATAACATACTTCTGGCTTTATGAACAGTCAAATCTTGACATTTGTCGAAAATTAATTAACCAATAACGAAAGTGATGCAGGTGTGAGCATCGTGAGTGACCCAAAGTATCCAGCGCCGCGATGTACAACTGCGTTTCCCTTATCCAATGCTTTGGATAAGTTGATGAAAGACAACGGTTTTATCAAACAATCACAAATCATTCCGTTAGTTCTATTGCAAAGCAAGTGTCTAGCGTTTCTATTACGGTCAAATGATTTCCTTGACAATATCCTAGAAGATGAAATGACAATATACATGTACATATGAGAAAAACTGACCAGTTTCGATGAATTCCGTAGTCGCATCTGCAACAGAAAGAGTGAATGGAAGCGAATGGTTTTATTCAACGAAATCTATATCTTGGTAGGATGCGTGATGTACTTATAGTTTAATGAATTGTTAAAGTGATTCGATTCGGCTCAGCCAAATTACTTTTCAGGCCTAATAGTTAAGCCATCATTCTGCATAAGCACCAGACCGGCGTGTTATCTTATTGGGGCTGCTCAATTGTGCGCATCCTTTAGTCCTCTACCGCCGATAGAAATCATGAGCGCTTGAGTCAAATGCCAACTAGGGAACAGCTTATGCCACAGAACATGCGTGACATTAGCCGACCAACACAGACTGAAAACTAACTGTGATACAGCCTGGTTGATTGTCGCAAATGAAACTCATCCACGATGATATATGTGTCGGAATCGCGAGTGACCCAACGAATACAGTGCCGAGATATACTGCTGCTTTTCTCTCTGTCGATGTTTGGGATACGTTAAGATGAAATACAACGGTTTCTTCAACCATTCACTGGGCATTCCGTCAGTACGGTTGTTTAGAATAGTCTAGCGTTTCGGTAACAATCAAATGCTTACCTTAACAGTATCAGTTGGTAAGATGACTATGCGCGTAAATATGAGAAAAGCAACTACTTTCAACGATTTCGGTAGCCGCCTAGGCAACGGGAATAGCGAAAGGAAGCAAATGGTTGTATGCAGAAAAACCCTTGAATTTTGTTCGTAATCAACATATATTTCAAACTGACCTCTTTATGAAGGAGGCAATTTAATTCCAGACAGTCATATGTTAGACGCTTGTTTGTGAACTCTAGTTCGCTTCGACCTTCCAACCGTAACTGATAGCCGCTGTGTTGTGCGACGCTATACATTTTGAGTGGAAAATACCAAAGCGATGTTTGATGTTATTGTTTAAGTTCTTCACAGCGAAACACTGTCAGACAGCTACCACAGCTATCAGCAAAGTGCTACACTGACGGCATGCGTTATTGAGCTAATCAATTCAGCGCAATCATCGAATCTTTCTGTATGTCAAGGGATCCGACAATCTGAACCTAGACTTTAGGGCCAGGGAGATACGTACCGCCATAACTGATCATCAACTGCGACATAACAAGAATAATCATGATTATGCCAGGCGATTTCAATAGAGCAACCATGTAGTTTATATCAATGCGGCAAGAGAAAGCAGACGTGCAGGGAAACCGGCATGAGTTAAGCGTACGACATGCAGCAAATTCTGGGTACCTTTGCTCAGGATTCATTGCCCTTGCACCAAACATGCTAGGCAGGAATAATTAGATGAGCTGAGTCACTGCGCATTCGGAAAGTAACTGTGGCGAGTCTAGTTCTCTAGGGAGCGAATAACAGTGACGACAAATTTCAACGAATTAGCAATGTCACCGGCGCTTATGGGGACGGTTTCAAGAGTAGCCATACTATCCGGAGGGGCACAGCAGAGCACGAGGAAACACTGGGATTCGGAGCATCTGATACCTGCTTATATATCAAATACTTCTCGAGAGTATGCAACCTATCCAAAAAACGATCAGTCGCCGACCCTTTAATGGTCGGTGTAAACTCATTTGCTTCATGCATCCATCCAGTCGCCGGCCACTCACTGGTCGGCGAAACTTCACGTATGAGTTGTACAACTTCTGAAACCTTGATTAAATCTGAGAGACTTTCATGAATGTACACCAACGCCCAAGGGCTCCTCAGTAAAATTAACGAACTTCGACTACGTCAGGTTGCGAATGCTTGGGACCTAATTTCTATTACCGAAACTTGGTTACATCGAGAGGTGACTGATGCTGAGGTTGAGATGGCCGGAATGTCACTCATCCGGAACAACCGCCCCAACAGAGGAGGTGGGGTCCTACTCTACTACCGCAGCGATCAACAATGTACAATAGTTGAGGACCTGGAAACACACGTTACCGACTCACTCTGGTGCCGTCTCCGACTAAGACGCAACGACACATGTCTCATAGCTATCGTTTACCGCCCCCAACGTCCACTCTGAAAATGGATTCCTGCTTGATCCGTGGCCTAAACAGAGTAACACGCACTAGGTACAGCCACATTCTCATCTCCGGGGACCTCAATCTACACAATCTGGAGGTTTCGGCATCGCCCAATGAGCAGTTCAAAGCAGAGTTGCAGGAACTGATCGCTAATATTCCTTTGTACAATCATGTCACCACGCCCACTAGATTCAGGACAGCAAACCAACCGTCCATATTGGACCTTGTGCTCACAAATGAAGAGCTCATGATTGACAAGTTATTGATGGATAGTCCATTAGGTCTCAGTGACCATGTAGTAATAACTTTTGACTATGTGTGTTATGCAGAGTATCCATCTGAACACTCGAAACTAACTCATACAATCACACGCTACCACGTATTGAAAGAACTCGCCGACGCAGCTACTTGGGAATTCTCAAACAAAAGTCCCCTTGACAACGTTTGGGCAGAGTTCGTTACTAAACTCAGCGACATCGTCAACAAAGCATCAGAAACCAAACCCCTTCGTCCCGCGAAAATGCCTTCAATTATAAGGAGTAGGACTCGCAAATGCCTGGCGATAAGAGATGCAGCATGGCGTGCCTACAAGATTAACCCCGACTCAGAGACTTGGGGAAATTTCCTGGCCCATCGCAACCATTGCACTGCACTTGTCCGTGAGGACAATTAACTTATCAACAGTGCCTAGCCAAAATGTTCATGGCAAACAACAAACTGCTGTATAAGCATGTCAATAAGCTTCGTAAAGTGAAGCATGGAATACCCCCACTATTCACGACAGGCGGTAGAGTACAAAGCGCCGAAGAAGCAGCTAATGCCCTGCGGCTGCAACACGCCCCAATTTTTGAGCTCGCAACATCTACCTGTCCCATAATATCAAGCTCATTACCGACACCTTTGTTTACAAATGTTATTTTCAACCTATCAGTTTTGCTAAGGAAGTTACTCTCACTGCGTGAGCATAGTTCTCCAGGAGCAGACAACATCCGCCCGAAGGCACTGAAGGCTACGACCACCAAGCCAGCTGAACCATTGTCACAGTTCTCTCAAAGGTGCTTTGATGAACAACAAGTCCCCACTATGTGGAAGTGTGGCATTATAACCCTATTTTTAAAGGCCGTAGCCGTTCCGATCCTGCAAACTATCGTCCAGTGACTCTCCTCCCTGTGCTCGCGAAGGTGATGGAAGCAGTCGTCGCTGAGGGTTTAATGGACTACCTGGAAAAATGCAACATTTTGGTACCGGAACAGCATGGCTTCCGTCAACACCGGTCATGCACCACCAACCTACTTAATGCACAAGGTAGTTGGACGGAAGTGGCCGATGATGGGGTCGGAGTCGACGTCATCTATCTGGACTTCTCCAAAGCTTTCGACCGCCTTGATCACCGCATCGTACATCAAGGACTACAAAGTTATGGAATCGGAGATCCTGTACTTGGTTGGATTGGCAACTTCACTTACCAACGAAAGCTGCAAGTACGTGTTAGGGGATCACTTTCTAACCCAATTGAGGTGGAATGTGGTGTCCCACAAGGCTCAGTGCTGGGACCGCGCTTATTCCTGGTGTTTATCAACAACCTGGCAAGAGTCATCTCCTCAAACTTCCTGCTTTTCGCCGATGACGCCAAGATATGGCGGGCGATTAGTAACAAGGCACATCAGGATCTGCTCCAACATGACCTAGATTGCATTTACGAATGGTCAAAGAGGAACAAGCTTCAATTGAACATGGCTAAGTGCAAAGTGATGCATCTGCGTCACCAGCCGGTGAGCGCTTACATGATTGGAGACCACACCATGGCGAAGGTTTCTCAGGAGCGTGACCTGGGTGTATTGGTACAGGAAGATCTCGGGTGTTCAAAACAAGCAGAGAAGGCGAGGAGAACCGGAAATCAACACTTCGGCCTTCTTCGCAGAGCCTTCGGCCGGTTTGAACCATCAATATTTCCCCAAATGCTTAAGGCCTACGTGCGACCTCACGTGGAATATGCTATTCAGGTGTGGCAGCCGTGGCAGAAACAGGATCTCCTTGCTCTCGAGACTCCTCAACGAAGGGAAAGCAAGAATGTCAGGGGCCTCTTTCATCTGCCCTATCAGCTTAGACTGAAATCTCTAAGAATCTACAGCAGTCGATATCGGCTTTTGTGGGGGGATCTCATAATGGTTTACCAGATTCTGAAGAACTCAAACCACATTTGCCGTCCGCTGCTGGAATTGAACCAAACTAAGAGGTCACCCTCTGAAACTGACAATTCATTATAGCCGGCTTGAATGCCGTAGAAATTTCTTTTCTCTTCGCGTGTGCCAGCCTTGGAACGCGCTCCCTAATTATGTCGTCTCTGCTCCCAATCTGGCAATATTTAAAAAAACGTTGTGACTATGCATTGTCTCACTTACATTTCATTTTATGACTTGTTAGCCAGGGGCTACAAAACGCAATCAAACGGTGTCTTGCCAAACGCCTAACCAATGGATTTATGGATTTATAAGTTTAATACGCGAACATCTGTGCTATTCCACATAAGTCTTTGGTGAGTCCGCCACAACAATTTTCACTTTATTATGCAATTAATTTTCGCAATAATTTCCATCCCACGGGACTTGTTAAGCGATGCTATGTTACCCGTAATAAACCGTTGTTCCATTGTTCCATTATCCGAGTGCGATCTCATCACAAATATCTCGGACTTACAGCGATCTATGTGCATATACTAAGTACCGCTGCGATTGACGTTAGGTGAGCAATGTTGTAGGATGATCGCAAGCCCAAACCGTGTATTTCTCCGATTGTATTTGTAGCCTTGACGGCTGGTTCGGTATGGACAAGTAGTGCATCGGAACTGCGGATGGAACTGTGGTGTCGACGCGGAAGTACTCTCGGCGTTAGAGTTGTGAGGCAGTCCATTATCACCTTCCAGCAATGGTTGGGGATATGCAAGCGTCAGGTCCCATTTCAAGTGAATATATAGTCTTCATGGGTAGGCCTTAATTCGATTGAAAGCCCTTCTTCAAAATTCCCGTACATGTTCGTCATTGCTTTGTTACAGATATCCCGCTGCTTCACAGGCTAGAGTGAAGGGAATTTTCGTACCATTTATAGCAGGAAAAAAGCCATTTCAACAATTGCCTTGCGGACAAATTGTGGCCTATGTAGTCCGAGTATTTCTAAACGTTTGGTGCGAGCCGATGGAAAATCCAAGTTACTCCCCATTCACAGCTAACCGAGGTTCTTAATCAGAAGCAAAGTGGAGCAGAGACCAAATCACTCGTAACACGTGTGGGGCTAAAACCTTGAATTCACGTGTCCATTAGTCGTAGACTAACACTAACGGAAAGGAATTTGGCAGCGGCGGATCTATGATGGACAGACTAACGGATGCATCGGGAATCTGTCTGTCCTGAGCGCATAGGTCGCATTCAGTCAACATTAGATCCGGACCCAACTGGATTGAACTCAATGTCATACACTAAATCTGTCTGAGTTCTTCTGTCTGGTTGTTTTATTATCTTCCTCAGAAATCAAATATTTCTAAGAAGTCAATGCGGCGCTTCTTATCGTATAGCTTCGAAATGAACAGCGACGACCGCTCCTGACTACCTAAGCGGTTAACTGAGAATTCGGCCATGTCTTCGTGAGCCCAACCTCGACTGGCCACTCAAACACAACAAAGATACACTGTGCATCATTCTTGTTCATGCGACTGCAGACATTGGCGAGTGCCTCACGCAGACCAGAGGAGGAATATCTGAGCGTATCTGAAGCTTGAGCAATCTACTGATCCATTTTCGGGGGAGCTTGATAAATTTGCAATCACATTTAATGCGCAAATTCGTTCCCCATTATCAGTACCTCATTTCCACTTATTTGTTCCAGGTTTATGACTTTCAGTTGTGTTGGTTTTAGAACTGTTCGTAGCGAAATTAATCTCGTACATTTATCTTGTCATTGAGGATACCTAAATATTTCCATTGTGGTCAGCTGGGTGGAATTGATTAGTAGATTTGCAACACTGATCACAATCCCTAAAAGCAATGGTTTTTGGTTAGCGCAAAACGATTACGTTCGCAAGGAGCAGAACACATACCTACGTGAAAGTGGGAGAAAAGTTATATAAAAGTAACATACACCTCGATACCATTAAATTGGCACGCGTATATGATGCAACTCAAACATAGCATCCATCTTCGATAGGAAGCCGAAGCAATAAGGCAAAGTATCAGAGTGCGGAAATAATTAAACTCAAAGAATTTACGAAGTCACCAGTGGAATTCGGAGGGTGTGGTAAGGATATATTCCGCTCCGTAAAGTCGTTATTTCCACATGTGCCACCAAAGATACAGCCATCTTTTCGCAGGTACAGCGTGCTCCAACAGTACAGTGATTTGTGCCGCTGTGTGATATTACTGCTTATTGTGGTTTGTCGCCGAAAATTCATTCCCTCCTCGCCTGCCATCAAAGGTTTAGTGTAAAAAGCAGACGTTCATACGCTACCGCAGCCATCCACCTCCAGATACCATTCGTCCAAATCCAATGGAAGCGACGAACCTGCACTTAGTTAAAAGTTTCTCTCCAATAATTTAATGGCAGCTAGATCCGAAACAATTCCCAAATGATTCATTCCTATCTGATTAAAGAATTTAGGCATACAATAACCACTGCTGAGGAATTCATGTTTCAAGCTAAATTTGACCGGCTCATTTACGCTGTCAAACTCACTAACCAGTTTCCACATCAGGTGTGATAGATGCTGAAATAACGAAACGGCACGGTTCGCTCAATTTGACTGAATTCATAAAAAAACTGGAATATTTGAAATTGTGCCCTTGTACATAATCAAATAGATGCCGAATATTTGAAGATTATTTCATGCGCGCTCACAACGAAGAGAAAGAATGCGAAAGCGTTCTGCTGTCGGTTAAAGTATGTGTCTAGATGGATGGTCCTTTATAGATAAAAAAATCACATAGCATTGGATAAGACATCAAGTAGCCTTCTGTCCGGCATTGGAAGTATATCAGTATAGTTGAGTAAGAGACAATGTTAAACTCTCATGAGGCATACTGAAACGGTTTGTCGTGGCATTGAGGATCGGACGACAGCGATGCTATCCAGCGCAACGTTAAGTATGTCGCGACCTGGTCTTGCGGAACACGAGGTAATTCCATGTGGGCAAGTGTCAACTTGTTCACATTCGTCACAGACACGTCTGCATTTAGAGCCTTGGATTGGGTCACTTGCAGATCAACACAGGACAACGCCAACTCGATGTACTTGTGTGGGAATATCTTGGCAATTCCGGATCAACCGGGGCTGGTTTACGAAGCGCCAACAGGCATGTCAGTCTCTCGTTGAAGGCTCTCTGAATTTCGGATCATTCTACCTGATGTTCATTATCGCCATACATCCCTACCATGAACACCCCATTCAGAGTTGACAAAAGTGGATTAAATGGAAACCTCATACTGCCTGACGCTCAACATGGTAAGGCAAATATAATGGCAAAATTTTGCGGCACCCACTGTAACACCTATGCTGACAATACTCAGATGTTTTATACGATGCTGCTAGCTATTTTGCCGAGATCTTAACAAAGCACATCAAATTGTGAGCGAGTCCCAATAACCGCGTGTTGCAACTACTTGAGGCCCAGAGCAGACCCATATAAAAAATGTAATGACTTGAAATTAAGTGCGCGTCATATTCATTTCGGACTGCATTTGGAATAAGCTTGAGACTATTCCCTCTCTTACTTAGAACGCTCGTCCAATCTCCATTGTTTGCGCTGACACATCAGCAGGAATCAGTTGAACATCTCACTTAAAATCATGCTATTCGGAACGTGAACACAGTGCTTAGGATTACATTCTTGTGACTTAGTATATTTACAGTTGTAAACTACTCGGATTCACAGAAATTAATGTGGATGAGAGAGGCAGCTGACTTGCTCCACAATCTTTCTCCCAATATGCCGTCGTCCGGTCACCTCTCGGATGTGCGTAGTGGTTCATTCTCATGTAGAAGCTTAGAATTCTCATTAAGTTTCTTTGTTTACACTACACAAGATGTTTGGCACATGCTTTGTTACAAGGCATAAAACATTTTCCATTTTTTCCATTTGAATTCCAACCAAATGGGACGGGGACAGTGCCGATTGCCATGCAGTCTGTTAACACCGGTGCAGGTTGCCACCAATGTGAGATTCATTTGCGTCTGACGACCGTCACGTTTGCTGAGGACTGTTACACCGTTGCATGGAAGTGGATAATCCCTGGATTCAGTTGCAGCAAGTGGGGGATTTTTTGAAGGAATATGGTTGTGTTCATGCGGGACGATTTTTGGGCTGGTAAGGAGTGGACCAGTGAGAACCAGACAGAAAGCACTTAGCGTGTTTATATTTATGGGGGCTAAAATCCAACAAAGTACGTCAGGAAAACTCTCACGGCAACATCAATTAATGCTTTTTAGTTTATGCATAGCCGAGACAAACATTAATTATTCAGTTTATGTATATTGCCGAAAATTATTATGGATTTAAACTAAACACGGCTGAAAGCCAGATAACCTTGGACAAAGAAATGGGAGCACATTGAATTTAGGAAGGAGACAATGAGCGAGGGGAAATTGCAAATGCATACCTGTCGCAAGTCCTTCTTTTGGACTCTGTGTGCCAACTAGACAAAATTTAGAGCAGAGCAATGGAGTATTTCCGTTAGGAAATATGTAAGCATATTTTGGCGCTTGATGTTTTCTTGTTGGCATTTATAATAAATGAAAAACGATCAATTGTTGATAGCAAGTCCAACCATGTTAATGACGGTGCTTTTGTTGCCAGCTTAGTTAGGACTTACGCCACTGAAGTCAAAGTTGATATTTTTGTTTGTTAGGAAGTTTTGTGATACATCTAATTGAAGGATATCCTTCGGATAAATCAGCCATGTTGACTACGTTTATTTTGTCGCCTTAACCGGCAGATGCGATCGGAGGCACCATTAGTCATTTGTAGCAGCCAATGATAATCCGCGCATATTACACATATGAATAGTAAAAAGCTTATAGTTCACTGTCGGACTCATGAAGGAATTGGTAGTTTTCATATTCAACTTCCTCAGCCAGTTATATTTTGTTGCGTCCAATAGCACTCTCAGCTAATTTCTGAGCTTACTTGTACACACGATTTTTTTGATGATTCTCCTCTTTGCATGCGAGTTTCTGACTGGAGACCCCACGTATATTCTCCATTGGTACACATAGAATTCGTAATTTGAATAGCTTATTTGTCCCGTTATTTGTGAACCAATTATTTATCCGTCTTTTAAATGTTGCACGAAAACTGTGCTTTTTGTTTCTTCTAATACCGACTTGCTTTGTTTGAATTGTGGTCAATCTTCATCTCTTCTCTCTCATCTCTCTTTGCATAGGGAAGCTTTCGTCTCGTCGTCTTACAACGACGTTTAACTTGATATAAATCGTATATGTTGTCAATTCAGAGTGTGGTTAGGCAGTTTGTTTACAGGATTCGTATATACTAATGTACAGTTAAAACGGTTGTTCATTCCATACTAAAATATTCGAAAACTAAAGTGAGATCAGTGGGTGAATTTTGTGTGACAAATTAAATGCAGTAGTGTAATAACCAGTTGCCTTCCTGCCTCTCCAAGCTGAGTACTTAGTTAGCTAGAAGGACAGAAGTATGCAAAAAAGTCGGATCAATCCGTTAGTTGAGACGCAGAACAAGATTCTAGCTTTTACGTAATTATCACTTAGTTTTCGTAGCAGCAGCTCTATCTGTAAATTTATTGCCATGAAAATGTAGACTTCGTGGTAATTCTTGTGGTTTATATTACATCGCAGTCTGAATTGATTACAAGTGTAACAAAGCTACACACTTACACTGAACTCAACGAAAAGGTTAATTTGCATAATTAAGGAAATGAAAGTGCGGTCGCACATAAGTGAAAAACTAACCAGGCTTTTGGGTTTCTGTTATCCCCTCTACAACAGCAAGACAAAATGTAAGGGAATGATTTTATGTTTGTTGTATATCGCATGTTGATTGTATATTCATCGGATGCATGATAATAGTAAAAGGAAACAGTCTTGCCTTAGATAATTGCATATGTACAGGCAATCCCATCTATAGCTGACAGACGTTGGACGCATGATTATCTATTATAAACCCAGGCTAGATTTGTTGATGCAACCGCACAAGAAAGCGGTTGCATAGTGCGACAATAGCGTTGTTCAGAGGAATAAAGTAAAGCGATGTGTGACCATACTGAGAAGAATCGTCGCAGCCAAATGCTGTCAGACAGCTACAATATATTAAGCTCCCACATGATGGTAAGTAATAACTGAGCTAATCATTAAGGGCACACAGAAACTTTAGATCCCGCCAAGTCGGATAATATAAGGCCAATTTTATAGGCCAAAGAACCACGTACTATATAACTGGATTCTCCCCTTAGAAATAACGCGTCACTTCACCATGATGCTATGTTTTGGTTAAACACGCATGTGTAATCCATCTTGAATTAAACGTTCAAAATGCAGCAAATTCTGGGTATATTTGCTCGGGATTCATTGCCCTTGCACTTAATATGCTAGGCAGGAATAATTAGATGAGATGAGTCACTGCGCCTTCATAAAGTGTTGCGAGTGCAGTTTTCTAGCGAGCGAATAACAGTGACGACAATTTTCAACAAATTAGCAATGTCGCCAGCGCTTAAGTTATCCGAGTGCGATCTCATCACAAATATCTTGGCCTTACAGAGATCTGTGTGCATATACTAAGTACTACTGCGATTGATGTTAGGTGAACAATGTTGTAGGATAAGCGCAAGCCCAAACCGTGTATTTCTCCGATTGTAGTTGTAGCCTTGACGGCTGGTTCGGTATGGACAAGTAGTGCATTGGAACCGCGGATGGAAATGTGGTGTCGACGCGGACGTACTCTCGGCGTTAGAGTTGTGAGACAGCCCATTACAACCATTTAGCAATGATTGGGGATATGCACGCGTCAGGTTCCACTTCACGTGCATATATACGTTCTTCATGGGTAAGCCCTAATTCGATTGTAAGCCCTTCTTCAAAATTCCGGCGCTTGGTCGCCATTGCGTTGTTACAGGTATTCCGTTGTTTCCCATACACCTCATGGTTGATGGCCAAGCTGGTGTGGGGTGAATTTTTCCTTTCCCCACCCCTCTCTATTTCTTTCAATTCTTTGCAGGACCAGTGTAGCCTGATTAGTCCGACTGTTTGCTGCCTGTTGGGTGCAAACCGACGGAAAATCCAAGTTACTCTCCATTCACAGCTTACCGAGGGGCTATAAAAAATGGGACTCGTAACAGAATCCAAACCGCTTGTCACGCACGTGGAACTGAAACGTTGAATTCACGTGTCCATTAGTCGTAGACTAACACTCACGGAAGGGAATTTGGCAGCGGCGGATCTATGATGGACAGACTAACGGATGCATCGGGAATCTGTCTGTCCTGAGCGCATACGTCACATTCAGTCAACATTAGATCCGGATTTAACTGGATTGAACTCAATGTCATACACTAAATCTGTCTGCGTTTCTCTATCTATTTATATCATTATCTTCCTCAGCAATCAAATATTTCTAAGAAGTCAATGCAACGCTTCTTATCCTAAAGCGTCGAAACGAACAGCGATGACCGCTCCTGACTACCTAAGCGGTTACCTCAGAATTCGGCCATGTCTTCGTGAGCCCAACCTCGACTGGCCACTCAGCACACAACAAGGATACACTGTGCATCATTCTTGTTCACGCGACTGCAGACGTTGGCTATGAGGATTATCTGAAGCTAAGGCAATGGACGGATTTTTCATAGGTGGATAAAGTTTTACATATCCATATATGTATTTCTAAACCTTTACCCCTTTAGCATTCCGTCATCTTTACTTTCTAGTACATTTTTTGTTCCCTTCATTTGTTCTGGATTTGGCATTTAAATTCTAGCAAAAATATCCTCGGGGTTGCTGTTGTTTGCGGTGAGGATATATGCCATTCGTGAAAATTCTCTTTTTTCTCCCTTTTTTGCATTTGTTTAAGTATTTGAATTTGTCCATACAGTTTGTTGCTGTACTTTTTCTGATGCTCTTGAATGTTATCTTCCTTCTAGTTCCGCAGCTTGCCACCGCACTTCAGTCGCAATGTTGCTCTATTGTCAAACCCAACCGACTCGCTCAAATCAATAGATGTTTGCCTTATACACTTATTTTTGTTCTCTTTCGAGATGATGTTTATATTCCTTCTTACCATGCAAAGCACATTTCGGTGGGAATTGCTGTAAGTTTCCCTTTCGATAGTGTTTTTACCTGCTTCACCATTTTCGCACTCTACTGCGTACTCACATATGAGCATTGTTCCGCCGCCGTGGATCGACCGATAACCCATGCGTTTAACGTACAGAATCGACGTATTCCTTAATTGATTGTATGGCGTTGGTAGCGGTACGTTTTAAAATAAAATAAATGGATATATGCTCGATGTTACACGAGGCACTTCAAAGAAGCCATGATCCGTTTGATACTAGAAGATATGTGACTATTGCTGTTTGCTCAAATGATTAGATTCTTGAGATCCAAGACTTGATGCGTTATAGCCATAACTGTTTATATGAGGAAATTACAAAATGTTGGCGAATGCCGTGTCGATGGGCGCGAATGTCTACTTGGATCTACTCTCTAGGTAAGTAGCTTTTAGATATTTCGCTCTAGTTCTCTCGGTTCTCGTTAGTGAGTCCAGTTTAATTAACCATATTAACGGTGGTGCTTGCGCTAACGCTTTGTTTTACCCCGTTCATCTGAGATCTTAAATCATTATTATCCCGAAAAGCCTGCGAATAACATCATTTCATGGCATCTATAAACATGTACCACAAAATAACCTGCCAGCAATGAGGCAATTACCATAAAAGGTCCCGGCAGCCACAACAAGTTTAATATTTTCAGCGCCTGTCATACAATATGTTACAATTAATGTGTTAGTTTACAGGATATCTTAAATGTTCGTGAAGTATCCTTTTACTGCTCTTTGGCCCCTAGTTCCTTTACGGAATCACTAATCCACTTAACTAACCCATGCGTCATCCGACCAACTACGTATGGTTGGCAGTTCATTTTCGTGATGCTTTGCTGAAGTGACTAAACGAATAAGCTGAATACTCAATGTTGTTTATTATCCCAGGCTAGCTGCCAGTTAAGAAGCTGAAGCATGCGCTGCTAAACGCCGGTGGGTTTCGGAATAAAGAGTGCTTTGTCGGACATAATATACATGGACTTAAAGCATACTACTTGGCGCTACTTAAATTCAAATAGACTGAATGTATAATTGTTACTGCGAAATATGTCGGTTATAAGAGCGACAACTATGATTACAAATGTACTTATAAAGTCAGCTAAACGCGGCTTGAGCGGCGGTATGGGTTCCTTCAACAGAAACGGAATAACACAGCCGACTCCGCGCAAACTGTTTTACGAAGTACACGTATTGATTTTTTCCACTCGAATGTTCACGGAACATGTGGTCTAGCTGAATCCACGGCTATGGCTGAATGTCTGCCTGCGCATCTGGGCTTCAGTAACAATGTCACACATTTCCAGGGATCTAGTAGCATCACCAATACTACTACCCAAAAAATAGGGCTAACTATTACCTTGTTCACAAATCTGCATAGTTAGCACACATATTCTCAGCCTGTTATCGCCACCAATGTCGCTAACCTTGATCACATAATTAACATAGGAGCCACAAAGGATTAAACCTTGTAGCTGATGAGTAGTCATAGCATTCAAACCTTCCATGCCGCGCGCCAAGTTGAACAAACACCACATACCACACTAATAGTGATTAACTTTCCCAATACGGCTTCAGTAGAATAAGTGTTGAAAAGTCTTACTGAACACTCTAACTTGCAGGGGCGTTATAGTAAACCATCCGGTTAACACAGAAACGAGCCGGATGTCCCAGCCCTTCAAAGCTCTTTCCTTCTAATCCGTCTGTGACAAATTACTTGCTTAAACAATATTCTCGTTTCAACCGGATGACACCGAATGACAATAAAGGCTGCAGCTAATGTTCCAACTGATGTTCAAACATCTGACACCCATTTGTACCGAGTTCCTTTTTAGATCTATTGATGATCACAAGATCACCAAACCAAATCAGCCTGCTTGTACACAAGCTTTTTTCCCCAAGTACATGAGATGGTGGCCTTTATCAAAAAGCTTGGATTTTTTAGATCACCTCTCATAGTTGCTTAGTCTCAACAATAAAATGTATTTCCTGCGAATGTTGCTGCTTATCTCCTGGTCCAACATCGTGATTGTGACGCAGACTTGGGAAAGCAAACATATTTCCATTGCCCAATTTTACATCCAAATCTACCAAACCTTTAACAATTGTGCAAATGCCGCCGCGGTGGCAGTTACTTCATATACGAGGGCAATACACCCCACGGAACTCCTATACGCGATTCATTGCTGGATGGCCTTGAAAATTCTGCGTGAGGTAACTTTCAAGTGAAGTAAAGACAAGCTTTAATAGGTCGTGTACAACCCACCACATTGACGTAGAGTGGATATCAATTAACTCGCGGAGGCCCTCGCACATGCCTCCGAGTAGCCTGTAACTCATTGAATTGTGAGTGGGATTTCAATATACCTGAGATCGCCTAATGTCCGTCATGCTGTTTTCTCAAATATCTGCATTTTATATCAACAATCCATGCATTTGATTGGATGCAATAAAATGAATCTCTAACAAAAGGTGAACACTTGCCAAAACTACACTGTACCAAGGTTATATGCTATAGAAGTAAATGTATTCCCTATCTGAGATTGACCAAGAAATAACAGAGATCTGATTTGAAGGATTCGTCTACAACCACGACACATTCTAATAGATTGCAAGTTTTCATGTCTACCACAACGTTGAGTGGAAAGAATTCGCTGGGAAATTGTGATTG